GTCATGTTTTGGTGGAGCAGGCGGTCATGTTTTGGTGGAGCAGGCGGTCATGTTTTGGTGGAGCAGACAGTCATGTTTTGGTGGAGCAGGCGTCCATGATTTAGTGGAGCAGGCGCTCATGTTTTGGTGGAGCAGGCGCCCATGTTTTGGTGGAGCAGGTGCCCATGGTTTGGTGGAGCAGGCGCCCGTAGTTTGGTGGAGCAGGCGGTCATGTTTTGGTGGAGCAGGCGGTCATGTTTTGGTGGAGCAGGCGGTCATGGTTTGGTGGAGCAGGCGCCCATGTTTTGGTGGAGCAGGCGGTCATGTTTTGGTGGAGCAGGCGGTCATGTTTTGGTGGAGCAGACAGTCATGTTTTGGTGGAGCAGGCGGTCATGTTTTGGTGGAGCAGGCGGTCATGTTTTGGTGGAGCAGACAGTCATGTTTTGGTGGAGCAGGCGCCCATGTTTTGGTGGAGCAGGTGCCCATGGTTTGGTGGAGCAGGCGGCCGTAGTTTGGTGGAGCAGGCGGTCATATTTTGGTGGAGCAGGCGGTCGTGTTTTGGTGGAGCAGGCGGTCATATTTTGGTGGAGCAGGGGTGGAGCAGGCGCCCGTAGTTTAGTGGAGCAGGCGTCCATGATTTGGTGGAGCAGGCGCCCATGTTTTGGTGGAGCAGGCGGTCATGTTTTGGTGTAGCAGGCGCCCATATATTGGTTGAGAATTTTATATTTTCACCACTGGCCTTTCATCACAAAGATCGTTCAATAGGATCTGAAGGTCCATTAATGAACAGCACAGTACGTCATGCAAGGTGCTACAACTACAAACATCAGGTGGAGACAGGTTTCGATATAGACGGCCACGTCAGGTGTTTACTCATTATAGGCTCGCTTGACATTTTTATTTTGCTGCTCTATGTATATAGGCTACATATACATATATATATACATTTTTATGTATATATATATATATATATATATATATATATATATATATATATATATATATATATATATATATATATATATATATATATATATATATATATATATATATATATATATATGTGTGTGTGTGTGTGTGTGTGTGTGTGTGTGTATATATATATATATAAATATTGAGCAGTTGAAGTACACTCGGATTTTAATAAATAATTTTGGATCGTGTCGAATATGACAATTTCGGTAAAATTTCTAACAGAAAAATCCGCTCCCCCCGCCTACCCCCCCCCCCTACCCCGCCCAACTGTCAACAGGATGATAATAAAATCCGTTGATGGCATTAGAAGCCATGCATCGACTGGTCGCAGAGCTTCGGTCTCCAGAGTGCTCAACTAACTGTGAAATCAATCAGAAAGTACCAATCTTGATCCGATTGATTTATCGAGCCAGCTACCCAATATTAGCAGAACGTTGCTTCTTGTGCTTAGATCTCATCATTTAGAAGAATAATAACAACAGAACATTGCTTCTTGTGCTTAGAACTCATCATTTAGAAGAACAATAACACCAGAACGTTGCTTCTTGTGCTTAGATCTCATCATTTAGAACAGGGGTCTCCAAACTTTTCAGCCCGAGGGCCGCATTAACTATCAAATATCAGTTCGAGGGCCTTTTTCTCCCCCCCCCCCCACAGAAGAACATATGGGAACAGGGCATTTCCCCCCTGTCAATTACCCCCCGGATATTCCCCCCCCCCCCGACATTACCCCCCAGAGTAATTACCCCCCTGTCAATTACCCCCCTGTCAATTACCCCCCGCCCAGTAGGACATTACCCCCCCCCCGGACAGGGTTAGGGCTAGGTTTAGGGTTAGGGTTAGGGTTAGAGTTAGGGTTAGGGCTAGGGCTAGGGCTAGGGTTAGGGTTAGGGTTAGGGTTAGGATTAGGGCTAGGGCTAGGGTTAGGGTTAGGGTTAGGGTTAGGGTTAGGGTTAGGGTTAGGGTTAGGGTTAGGGTTAGGGTTAGGGTTAGTGTTAGGGTTAGGGTTAGGGTTAAGACTAGGGTTAGGTTTAGGGTTAGGGTTAGGGTTAGGGTTAGGGTTAGGGTTAAGACTAGGGTTAGGTTTAGGGCTAGGGTTAGGGTTAGAGCTAGTGTTAGGGTTAGGGTTGTGTCTAGCTATGGTTTTGGTTTTGTGTGAAGTTTCAGGCTAAGGTGGATGCTTAGGTTTTGGTCTTTTTCTTAAGGTTTGGATTAAAGTAGTATATAGATATAAAATTCTAGTTAGGATTTTAACTTGAGAGGGGGGGGGGTAATTCCCCGGGGGGGGGGGGGGGGGGGGGGTAATTGACAGGGGGTAATTGCTCCGGGGGGTAAATACGGGGGGAAATGTCCGGGGGGGAAAATATCCAGGGGGGGTAATGTCCTGTAGCCAGAACATATACCCCCCTTTCCTCACCCCAACGAAATATAAATTATATAGAAATATATATAAATTTCAGCGACTCATCCATTGCAATTGAAAAATGGCGAAACTGGCTGTCATTTTTCACTGTTTGAGTCACAATGTTTTCATAAATGTCTGCAACACGGCGGGCAATGGTATTTGCACCCAAAGCAACATTTTCAGATCGTTTTGAATTTTCTGGGCAAAGTTCTTCAGCCACCTGCAAGAAACATTTTGCCGTGGACAAAAAGATCTCCGCGGGCCGGATGAGAGGACCTTGCGGGCCGCATCCGGCCCGCGGGCCGTAGTTTGGAGACCCCTGATTTAGAAGAATAATAACCACAGAACATTGCTTCTTGTGCTTAGAACTCATCATTTAGAAGAAGAATAACAACAGAGCCTTGCTTCTTGTGCTTAGAACTCATCATTTAGAAGAACAATAACAACAGAACGTTGATTCTTGTGCTTAGAACTCATAATTTAGAATAATAATAACAACAGAACGTTGCTTCTTTTGCTTTGAAATCATAATTTAGAAGAACAATAACAACAGAACGGTGCTTGTTGTAATTAGAACAAGAGAACACCGCATTACTAAGGGAAAAAATGGGGGACATATTTTAATACGCAGTGTAAATCTCGAAGATAGGCATGGACATTGTTGTAATAAATGTACAATAGACGCGGACATTGGTGTAATAAATGTACGATTGTTTGTCGATGTGTGACATATATTCCTTCTTTCACAGATCTGTAATTAGCTCCTGTAACTACTAGTTTAATATGTACGCCAATTAGCACATGATGACTGACTGCCAATTAGCACACGACTGTCTGAGGACACTAATAGGTCACTTTCTGTAGACACTAATAGGTCACTGTCTGAAGACACTAATAGGTCACTTTCTGAAGACACTAATAGGTCACTGTCTGGAGACACTATTAGGTCACTGTCTGAAGACACTAATAGGTCACTTTCTGAAGACACTAATAGGTCACTGTCTGAAGACACTAATAGGTCACTTTCTGAAGACACTAATAGGTCACTGTCTGGAGACACTATTAGGTCTCTGTCTGAAGACACTAATAGGTCACTTTCTGAAGACACTAATAGGTCACTGTCTGAAGACACTATTAGGTCTCTGTCTGAAGACACTAATAGGTCACTTTCTGAAGACACTAATAGGTCACTGTCTCAAAACACCAATAGGTCACTGTCTCAAAACACCAATAGGTCACTTTCTGAAGACACTATTAGGTCACTGTCTCAAAACACCAATAGGTCACTGTCTCAAAACACCAATAGGTCACTTTCTGAAGACACTAATAGGTCACTTTCTGAAGACACATATAGGTCACTTTCTGAAGACACAAATAGGTCACTTTCTGAAGACATTAATAGGTCATTTTTTGAAGACACTAATAGGTCACTTTCTGAAGACACATATAGGTCACTTTCTGAAGACACTAATAGGTCACTTTTTGAAGACACTAATAGGTCACTGTCTGAAGACCCCACCAGCCCTGTGCCAAGTGATCTGTGACCACCACTGACCACCACTGACCACCACTGACCACCACTGACCACCACTGATCACCACTGACCACCACTGACCACCACTGATCACCACTGACCACCACTGACCATCAGCGTGTAAGGTTACAAGTGGTGACCAGAGGATCGCGCTAAGTGGGTCAAAACATTAGAAGCCAGTCAGGGGCCTAGGGACGGGGTGGGTCAAAACATTAGAGGCCTAGGGACGGGGTGGGTCAAAACATTAGAGGCCTAGGGACGGGGTGGGTCAAAACATTAGAAGCCAGCCATAGGCCTAGGGACGGGGTGGGTCACAACATTAGAAGCCAGCCAGGGGCCTAGGGACGGGGAATGACAGGATGGGCGCTGCTAATGCCTCGCACTGAAAGAAAATCAATATTTCAAAAATCGGACGATTTGGTGAGGCCCGGTCTTTTCACAGTAAGTACATCAGGAAGTTATGTCAGCTATACCAGCTAGGTGACAGCCATACCCGCTAGGTGACAGCCATACCAGCTAGGTGACAGCCATACAGCTAGGTGACAGCCATACCAGCTAGGTGAAAGCCATACCAACTAGTGGACAGATATACCGGCTAGATGAGAACTATACATTGGCATCAATATCGGCTACTTGAAAACAATACTAGATATCTGACAAGCATATCAACTAGGTGACAGACATCAGGTAGGCGGTATGGCACAGTAGCTAGCTTACTGATCTATTAGCTAGGTGACAGCCATACAGCTAGGTGACAGCCATACCAGCTAGGTGAAAGCCATACCAACTAGTGGACAGATATACCGGCTTGATGAGAACTATACATTGGCATCAATATCGGCTACTTGAAAACAATACTAGATATCTGACAAGCATATCAACTAGGTGACAGACATCAGGTAGGCGGTATGGCACAGTAGCTAGCTTACTGATCTATTAGATAGGTGACAGCCATATTAGCTTAGTGACAGCCATATCAGCTAGGTGTCAGGCACACTAGCTTAGTGACTACCACATCAGCTAGGAATTAGATCCTACATAAAAAACATGACATGACAATCATACATTGTAGCTACGAAATGAACTGAGTTAAGTGAATATACATACCGTTAGCGGTCAAACGCGTTAATAGTGTTGAAGTTGTTGAATGATGCGTGGGCGTTGATTGACCTACTGACCGCTCTAAAAAGGTCTTTAAGTAGAGCGTTAGGTCCTTAAGAGAGCCGACGCCGATGTTTTAATATCCAATGAATCGATACGAATCAGAGTACTAGTCTCATCAGGAGACCCACGCTAATCACTTAACGCTTAGCGTTAGCGTGCATGCTTGCAGGGTTAATCCGTGGGCTGAGGTAGGCTGTAGGATGGGGGACCACAGTGGTACCGGCCCGCTAATGACTTGACGGACCGCCGAGAACACACTAGAGGACGCGTGCTACGGTAATGATACGGCGTTCGATTGCTGTGTCGGCATGGAGTGGGCGAACACAGCGGCAGGCAGGCAGGCGGGCAGACCTCACAACGGGCGTGTGTGTGTGTGTGTGTCGGCTGCGTGAGAGGGGGGAGCGGGGGGGGGGGGGGTGCGCGTGTTGGAGTGAGCGCGCGTGTTTGTGCTGTGGGGAGCGTCTATGCGTGTGTGTGCGTGAGCGGGTGTGTGCGTGCATGTGCGTGTGTGCGTGTTGAGCTGCCGGGGACGCGTGTGAGCAGCATACCCGCCATTACCAGTGACACCACCATCACCCCTGCCCCCTGTAACTCACCCTCCCACGTGATGAGAGCGGTCACTGAGGCGACAGGGAAGCGAGGGGAAGGGGTGAGCTGCCGCGTGCAGATCGGACCCGCTCCGCTCACGGCCCGACACGCGCGCTCGCTAATCGATATCGAGCTGACCGGAGTGTATCAGCTGCCTCTAGACTCGTCCGCTGGCCGGAGTGTATCAGCTACCCGTAGACTCGTCCGCTGACCGGAGTGTATCAGCTGCCTGTAGACTCGTCCGCTGGCCGGAGTGTATCAACTGCCTGTAGACTCGTCCGCTGGCCGTAGTATAGTTCTATACGTCGCCTGTAGACTAGTTAGCCGGCCGGAGAGTGTCAGCTATCTCTATACTAGTATGCTGGTCGGAGTTTATCACCTGTTCGTAGACTATTAGACTGACTGGAGTAGCCTATATTAGCTGCCCACAGATAATGTGGCCCGTGGGCTAATAGGCTAACCGGAGTTCATTAGCTGTCTTAAATAGGCTAGTAGGAGTATATATCTATACGCTGCCCGTAGACTATTAGTCTGGCCGGAGTGTAGTCTGTAGTCGTGTATGTCCGACACACTAACCTATGACCTGCAATAGACCAGCCGTGATTTGAGCATGATGAAAGATTCGTGAGTAGATTGATGCACGTGCAGGCATATAATGCACGTGCAAACACTGTGATGTAACACTTGTGTAAGAACAGCAGTTGGACCTTTAAGTGGACCTACATCTTTAGCCCACAACTCTGGGACCTTCAAGTGGACCTACATCTTTAGCCCACAACTCGATACACTTAGGGTATTCAATCATTCAACTCTTGGTACCTTCGTGTTATACACATTCATCATTCAATCATTCAAGGTACCACTAACCAGTTAATACACTACCGGCCTACCACCCACCACTAAATAAACTACTGGCCCACCACTCATCCATTAATAAACTACTGGACTAAATATACTACTGGTACTGAAAAAAACGGATTTAAATTGTGGAATACACATCATGAAAATTACATCAGCTGAGTGAATACCACTTCTCACATCATCTTTTCAAATAGTGTAAAAAGTTCAATTTTTTTTTAAAGAAAATAATATGTAAGTCAAATGTTTCATTCTAAATGCGAACCTAATGTCTTATTCTAAATTAAAGAAAAAGGAAGAGCAAAAACATGAGCAAAAACAAGAACAAAGAAAAATCAAAGCGTGTTATCTAACATTGTGTTGTCCGCCACCCCACGAAACCAATTGATACCCCCCTCATCCACCCCATCCATTAAATAATATGTGCACCATCTATTTCTTTTACTACCGCATCGCCCCGGGATAGTTTCGCCTTTGTTCTAAAGTTAACATCTTTACCGCGCTACAGAGGGTAACAAAACACACTGCTAGTGGGGACATATTGAATCCACTGTCCTCTTCATCTCATATTGGAGCAGTTTTTTTGACGCAATCATCAGACCGCTGGATATGAATTGCAACATAAACATTGGTTATCGCTGAACTATAACTCAGTATTAGATCACTTGTGTTGGTACACAAACATACCTTGTGCAATATCTACCAATAAAGACGGAGGATACTGTTTTATGGCATTCATAGGTATATATATATATATATATATATATATATATATATATATATATATATATATATATATATATATATATATATATATATATATATATATATATATATATATATATATATATATATATACATATATATATATATATATATATATATATATATATATATATATATATATATAATGTATATTTATATATATATTATTATATATCTATATACAATTATATATACAACATGGCGTAAATCTGGAGATTTCGCACAATCAGAATTTTGAATATGACGTCACTGAATTACGAGGGACAAAAGTAAGACAGCTGTGACTGTGAGGGGCCAGAGCCCCTTTCACACACCCTCCCCCCCCCCCCCCTACACACTTTGAATACATCACTGCATACAAATAAGAAAAATATTATTTTAACAGATGCATCAATTCTAGATAAAATCGGATACAACAAAAGCCTTATTGAAGCAATATTTACAAAGAACAGCATTTGATAATTTTTTGTAATGAAAAGCCGACGTGCCCTCCATACCCAATGCTACTTCAAAAAATTCATTTTATTTAAATTGGGGAACAAATTCTTTCGATTGCATACAACTAGGTGAACGTAGTTGCTCTTTATGTGAAGGCAATATAAAACTATGTTGGTGCCAATTGTGCTGGCCGTGTGTGGATAGCTTAACCAACCGATGCTCGAAGGTTAGAAGCCTTGAGTCTCATCGACTCGGGTCTTTAGTTGGACTTATATTTCACAGCTACACAACAACGGCTAGAATCTACTGGGACATTTTTTAAACCCTTGGACCAGTGTTTCTTCCAGACTTCTTTCTCCGGGGGGCACTCGATATTTTCGGGGGGGGGGGGGGGGGAAGCGGACACTGGTAAAAGTATATGTTTGCTATATAAATTCCATTTCATTCGGGGGGGGGGGGGGCTTTAAACTTTCTTCCGAAGAGATGCCTGGAAGAAACTCTGCATTGGACGCTTTCTTTGGATCCCTGCCTTAAGTCAAAGATTTGAATCCTTGTTGGACGTGTTCATTGCATCACTGCCTTTAGTTCAAAACTAACAACTGTTTCCTACAAGTGAGTTTTCCCCGCCCTGCCCAGATTGAAAATGGCGACGGTGACACCGGCGGGTAGCGAGATAGGGCTATCAGTAAACATATCTCACCTCAGCCATCTCGCCAGGTGTTTTCAGCCCCGCCGCCTCATTAGGTGAGTACATCTTTCTCCCGTCACGGCGACCTGATTTACGCGTGCTCGCTTGAATTTCTCACCTGCATGTTGCTGATAACACTCGGCTCAGGACACACACTGACACGTACTTTTACTTGATACATCTAAACCTAACCTAACCTAACCTAACCTAACCTAACCTAACCTAACCTAACCTAACCTAACCTAACCTAACCTAACCTAACCTAACCTAACCTAACCTAACCTAACCTAACCTAACCTAACCTAACCTAACCTAACCTAACCTAGCCTAGCCTAGCCTAACCTAACCTAACCTAACCTAACCTAACCTAGCCTAACCTAACCTAACCTAACCTATTCTAACCTAACCTAACCTAACCTAACCTAACCTAACCTAACCTAACCTAACCTAACCTAACCTAACCTAACCTCAAACAAAATGCTGCAACAATCTGACGTGGTACCCAGTGGTAAAGCGGTCAAAAGTCGGTTAAGATTTAAATATATCCCATTACCTGCAACTGTTTACACCTAGTCAGGGCAGGTGGGCTGCGACCATCCGCTATTTCTGGAACCAACTGTCTTATCCTCCTGTGGGGGCCATTTGTCACCATCACCTGCCAGACTGCTTCTATCAAAGGTATCTGGTCTGTTAAGGACTGCCTTCATTTCTCTTGCTCTTCATTGACACCGTTTCTATGCCTATAGGGGTGGGGCAAGGTATGGGAGGGGCGGGGTATGGGTGTCATAAGGGGACAAGGAATGTGCGGGTAGCCTAGAGTGGCCGGGGTGGGGAAATGTGTGTGTGTGTGTGTGTGAAACGGTATAGGTGCCTCGAGGCTTTTGTGAGCAGTTTATGGGTGGTGCTAAGGATGTGGGAGACGTTATGGGCGGGGCAAGGTATGTGTGAAGTGGGAGGAGCAGGGTTTGTGTGAAGTGTTATGGGCGGGGCAAGGTATGTGTGAAGTGGGAGGAGCAGGGTTTGTCTGAAGTGTTATGGGCGGGGCAAGGTATGTGTGAAGTGGGAGGAGCAGGGTTTGTCTGAAGTGTTATGGGCGGGGCAAGGTATGTGTGAAGTGGGAGGAGCAGGGTTTGTGTGAAGTGTTATAGGCGGGGCAAGGTATGTGTGAAGTGGGAGGAGCAGGGTTTGTGTGAAGTGTTATGGGCAGTGCAAAGTATGTATGAAATAGACAGTGCTAAAATGCGCGGAGAATTTTAACTCGGTAAATATAGTGAGGTATGTATTGCAGGGGTTGGGCCTATTTTATATTTCCCATCATAGATTGAAGTATCTATTGTAGATGTTGGACCTATTATTGTATGTTTCGCGCCCAACAAACCTTGTGCCTGAAGGATTCCAATACACGATCTAGTGCATATGGGACTGAAAGTTGGAAACCTACACAAACATGTAACAAAAACATGGGTTTGAATATATCTGGGAAAAGACGTAAATACCACAAGACCACCCTAATTGGAACATTTTTGAATAACAACAGGACCTTAAACACCAGAAACAGATCGCGTTGATTGTTAATGTACCACACTACACGGCTATGTTGCCTATGGCGCTATATGAATTACGTTCCAACTTGCAAATTGCCGACCACTGTTGTTTATACCTTCTAGATTAAGCTTTAAAAAAGGCTATTTTCTATATAGTATTACATAGCTCTATAGTAAGCCATGACAGACAAAGCCTATGTTGCCCAGAGGTGCAGACAGGCTAGCCGGTGTGATGAGGGGGGGGGTGTTAAACGACACTTTTCTAGCAAATTTAAATAGCACCTTTCGGAAATATATAAATGACTACAAATACAGTTTTCAAACGAGCATGTTACTGAAGTCTGTCCCATTTTGTTGACCATCGTAGAAAAGTGAAAATTAAGGTGCGCTTATAAAAGGGGGCCCTAGGCTGCTGCCAACACAGCCCCTCCCCCTCATCCCACTATTCGTCATCGGCAGTATATAAGCATTTGCAGCTTCAAATAGAACGATAATTTAATGATTTTATTGATGGTTTGTGGAGTTTCGGAAACCAGAAAAAAACTACAACAAAACCATGTCTTCTCTGGTAGGTCTAGCTTGTATTAAAATCAAAATAAAAGTAAATAGATTCTAGGCCTAAGAGCTTACTCTTCAGTTTTTAAAATCAGAAAGAATAAAACTAATGATGGCGACGTTGTTACTGTAAACAAATTCTCTGAGGAAAACAGATGCTTTTATTAGACTACAAGCTTTTGTTTACAGCGAATGAAAATGCTTATTCTACTACTAGTCTAGGTAGATCTATAATCTAGATTCTACCTTTTAAAAAAATAACTCACAATTCTTCTGTTTGGGGTTCTCTTCCATTAACATGCACTTAAATTATAAATTAAAAACATAAATTAAATAAATTAAAATTAAATATAGGGCCTAAATATTACTAAATAAAAATATAGGGCCTATAAATATTAAATATAATATATTTAAATTAAGTATATTAATATACTAGGCCTAATACTAATACTAATAACTAGCCTAATATAATTAATAATTAAATCGAAGTGACAAGCAACGCGGATCACAGATCCTGGTCGAATAAATGTAATTAGATTTTAGATTCGATTAGAATTAGATCAAGATCTAGGTTTCTATATGATAGATATGTAATATGTATGTATAATATGTAAATTATGTGGATTGCACTGCAATCTAAAAGTATGTATTATTTTTTTTATAAAAAAATTTCAATTACAGCTGGCACAATAGTAAACTAAGTCAATTTAGTATTTAGCATATGTTATATTATAACTCTTTGTGCAAAGTCTTTATTACTGAAAAAAAATTCCATTGCCAGGGTCAGCCTATCCTTTTAACTTTTATATCAATGCCCATGTGCGCACTTCTCTCTCTCTCTGTCCGCAACATATTTTTGCAGGATATCACATCAGAATCTTAAGCGATATATGAAGAACTTGATACAGACTTTTGTTGAAAATAATATGGTAGATGTTTTAAATGTATAAACAAAATTTTAGTTAAAGAAGAAAAATAAAAAATAAAGACATATTCAAATGTAGAAAAACAATTTTAATTATGCAACCGGAAAAGGTTTTTAATGGAATCATTTAAGTCTTTTAATCAGTGTGTGCATTTAATAAAAATTAATATGGTGTTCTGTTGACTAATAATGTTTATTATTGGTTTTATTTTTTCAAATACATATTGGTAGTCTATGTTATTTTAAATGTGTCGGATTTTTAGTTATTATACCTTTGCATGGTCACTAATATTGTTCAATGTGTAGTAAAGCACATCGCGTATTGACCAAAAACTATTTTATAAAATATTAGGAAATTGGTAGCCTTTGTTTATTTAAATGTGCCCGATTTTTACTCTTTAGTTATTTCTTTGTTTTGTCACTAATATCTCAACGTGTAGTGTTGCATTTTGATCAATACCTATTTTATAACTTATTATTTCCAAATATGTATAACATTAAAAATATATATGCCTATAATTCATGTGTAAAAGGTACGGAAGGCTAGTTATATTATAACCTACTGCACTGTAGAAAAATTCTACAAGTACTGTGACCAGATTTCATGAGTGGATTTCTCAATTATTTTTTAAGATTGTACAATAAAACTTCACAGAAGCATATTAAAATATCTTAGAAATGAATTTAGATAGCTAAAAGTTAACACTGCAAATAAACAATTAAAAAAATAGAAATTAGGCCTACTCTAATGCATATTGTCGAATAATATTGTATAGTAATGTATAGGTACTCCAGTTACTAGAATCTTGAGTAGAATCTAGATCTGGATTCTATTTCACTATTTCAACAATTTACATCTAGCTACAAAAATAATAATTTTTTTTTAAGATTTAATACTTACATTTGCTTTGGAATCACAAGATATTTTATTTTGTCTTGTACAAGGGTAGTAAGGGGTTATCCATTTATGAAATCCACAAAATGGATTTTTGTTTTGTGGACGGGGGGGGGGGGGTCCAAAATCCAAAAAAATTGTGGACGTCATAAATAGATGACCCATAAGACTAAGTATTTAGATTTTAGTAAGGTAATAATTCATGTAGCAGTGTTTGTTTCTTTTAGCTTCTACTGACCACATCAGAGCATGCTAAATTACTATTTGAAAAGCATGAAAAGCTTAGGACTACTTGGGATTATTGTGATTTCACACATTTATAATCCTACAACCATGGACAAGATTAGCAGTAAAGAAACCTAATATCTTTTAAAATAAAATTAAATAATAGAAGAGGAATAACATAAATTAGGCTTTTGTTACATGACTTCAATAGACATAGTTCTCTGAGTTAACCTTACTACTTTATTCTTACATACAGACGGCTCAGACGATACAGACTGTCCCTGACCCTACCTCTTGTTAACTGCCTCACATGTACACATCAGATACACATCTCAGTACTGAACACTCAAGGGACGAAACCATGATATACACAGAGGCGTAGCGACCCCTCCCGGCGCCCGGGGCGAACATTCAGTTTGGCGCCACGCCGTATATATATATATATATATATATATATATATATATATATATATATATATATATATATATATATATATATATATATATATATATATATATATATATATATATATATGTATATATATATATATATATGTATATATATGTATATATATAAATATACATATATATATATATATATATGTATATATATATATATATATGTATATATATACATATATATATATATATATATATATATATATATATATATATATATACATATATATATATATATACATATATATATATATATATATATATATATATATATATATATATATATATATATATATATATATATATATATATATATATATATATATATATATATATATATATATATATATATATATATATATATATATATATATATATATATATATATATATATATATATATATATATATATATATATATGTGTGTGTGTGTATGTGTATGTGTGTGCGACAGTCTTGAAAAAAATTAATAGGTACGCTGTATGATTGTCGCTCCCTAAAACTTAACTCAACGCCAATTAAATTCCTCTTAAGATGCATTATCCTTTAAAGATGATGATTAGTAATGTCAGAAAAAAATATTGTAGCCGTGCTAATTCGTTTAGGACAGTCTTTTTATGTTTTATCTTTGGAACAGTCTCTTCTATGACATAGTATATATTTGGATTATAAGTTTGTTAGATTAAGGTCATACAATTAACATACAATAGCAAATCATTGTTCACATTGGAATACCATATGGGTATTTCGTTGACTGGTTGATTGTATAATGAAACAAGCTAGAGGAAAAACATTTCTTTTCTAAGTGTTAAAAGAGTTATCTAGTAAACGATCCAGTACAAATCCTGCGATTTTTGTTGGTGAAAAAGCGCCCCCCCCCCCCCTACCCCATTATCTTGGACAAAAATGGTAGAGCGGATTTTAAACGTCACTAACTCTTGTTTTTATGTTACACAGTTGTAAAATACGCTTTAGTTCCATGGGTTCTTTTCTGAGTAATAAGGGTTATTTATTCCTTAATTTTTCCGATTTTAGACTTCGAAAAAGCGCCCCCCCCCCCCTCCATCTAGGAAAGCTGGAAAGCAGTTTTTCTGGTCACTGTTTCTTACAGTTACTCAATCAAGGTAGAAAACAGTTAAATCAGCATGAAAAGGCTCTCAGCCGTTAAATTTCTTTACTTTGACTGTTTATAATTCAAAACTGCAGCTTAAAATGAGCTTGTAAATATTTTTTTCTACCCCTTTTGGCGCCCCCTTAGGGTCGGCGCCCGGGGCGGCCGCCCTCCCCGCCCTCCCCTAGCTACGCCTCTGGATATACACAACACAAGAGACTAACAAGAAATAACAGCTTTAGTAGCTAAGATTGATCTAATTATACTACTAAATCATAGTAAGCCTCAATAAGACATTATTCATTATAGACAAGACTATGCCTTAAGAAAGTGACTAAAAGTTAATATTAAAAAGATTAGGCCTACTTAACTAAAAATAAAATAGTTAGGTTTTTATAATTTATGATATGTAGTTATACAATATTGACATAGATGTTTTAAAAGGATGCCACATTTAATACAGTCATGAATGTCCTGTAAAAAAACATAAATTGAGTTCACTGCCCTAAAGTTTGGAAATTCCTTTTAATGAATTGGCACAGAATGATAATTGTTACATGTTAAATAATTAATAATATTGTATGAATCTGTGCAGGTTTAATCATTCTTTGATAAAAATAAATTTTTGTTAGTTTGCAAAAGCAGCAACTTTGTTCAAACTTTTTAGATACATTTAAATAAGATTTAAATTAGGCCTAATTATTGAAAAGTAAGTTAAAGATTATGAAATTTGATAACAAGTGGGGAGATAACAGGATTAAGAACTAGTGATTGTTTCATGGGCGAAATAAACTGCCTCAAGCTGTTTTCACATCTGGTGCCAACTGACATTAATTTTATTTTAAAAAATCTGCCCATCTAGCTGATGAACTGAAATAGAAATTTTATTTAAAAAAAAATCTCCACATCTAGCTGATCAACTGAAATAGAAATTTTATTTTTAAATAATCTCTCCATCTAGTTGATAAGCTGAAATAGTAATTAAAAAAAAATACATTTTGAAATTGTTTTTAATTCTTTTGCAACAGGTTAATTTAAAAAAAAAATTGACCAGCTTCTCTTGTTGTTTTCAGTTATTAGTTGATTCACCAACAGTTTGATAGACTTCTATCATTAGTGGATAATTACCATGAATATTCAAGTGCTAGGTCGAATTCGCCCCACATTTCGAACAGAGAGATCATCTCTGTATTTGTCAGAAAAAAATACAGTTGCGTCCAGGGCTGGGGGGCCGTCCTTTGGGTGAGTACAACAGATATTTTTAACCTGATGTGTGGAGGTATTTTTATCTTAGAGCACTTATTTAACCGGATGTGTGGAGGTATTTTTTATCTTAGAGCAGGTATTTAACCTGATGTGTGGAGGTATTTTATCTTAGAGCACTTATTTAAAACTTTGCTAATTTTATTTCCAGATTTGATGAATTATTCCATGAAAATGATACGACCTATGACATCTTCAAAGCCTCAGTCCAGCCTTCACTAGACCTGCTGTTGGGGGGCTGCAATGTTTGTTTCCTAGTCATAGGGGAGACTGGGTCAGGGAAATCCTTCACCCTGGCTGGAGAGGGACAGTCCCAAGCTGGCATGGTACCAATGGTGCTAGAGCATTTGTTAGCCAGGCTCTTCAGGGGTAAAAGTTTAGATTTATTATGTCTTCATCTTGGCTCTTCAAGGGTAGAAGTTTAGATTTATTGTGTGTTGCTTGGCTCTTGAGGGGTAAAAGTTTAGATTTATTGTGTCTTAAGCTTGGCTCTTCAGGGGTAAAAGTTTAGATTTATTGTGTCTTAAGCTTGGCTCTTCAGGAGTAGAAGTTTAGGTTTATTGTGTGTTGCTTGGCTTTCTAGGGGAAAATGTTGAATGTTAGCTAGATGTATTTATATGTATGTATTACATAGAGAGTTATAGTTTATGTTAGTATGTATGTATGTCACAGACAGTTACAAGTACGAGAAGAGATCATCCAAGAGCTGGCCTGTGGTTACACTGCAGATGTTTCAAGTTGTCAATGAGGTGTTGAAAGACTTGCTGCTGGTCCCGGCGTCGGTCTCCCAGAACCTGCAGATAGGTGACACAGCCAGCAAAGGTGTTCATGTGCAGGTCAGTATCTGCTTGTGTCGCCTTTTATGCCATAACTTAAAAGTTTTTGTACCAAAGTTTCTAATGTTCAGTTTTGGTCTATTTCATTGCTAGTGTGTAACCAATATTTGTCTATTTTATTGTTAAAGTGTAACCAGTTTTTGTCTATTTTGCTGCTAGGGTATAACCCGACTCCCCTTAAAAGATGGCTCACAAGCCACAGCCCAGTTCCAGCAAGCCTGGGGGAGACGAGCCAACAAATCATCAGATTACGGCTACACCGCGGACCACTCGGCCGTGTTTGTTGTCATAGAGCTAGAGATGGTGAGTACAGGATCTTAAAGCTGGTTACACACAGGGCTGGTATAGAGATGGTGAGTACTGGATAGATGGTTACACCCCACACAGGGCTGGTATAGAGATGGTGAGTACTGGATAGATGGTTACACCCCACACAGGGCTGGTATAGAGATGGTGAGTACAGGATACATGGTTACACCCCACACAGGGCTGGTATAGAGATGGTGAGTACAGGATCTTAAAGCTGGTTACACACAGGGCTGGTATAGAGATGGTGAGTACAGGATCTTAAAGCTGGTTACACACAGGGCTGGTATAGAGATGGTGAGTACAGGATAGATGGTTACACACAGGGCTGGTATAGAGATGGTGAGTACAGGATAGATGGTTACACACAGGGCTGGTATAGAGATGGTGAGTACAGGATAGATGGTTACATCCCACACAGGGCTGGTATAGAGATGGTGAGTACAGGATAGATGGTTACACACCACACAGGGCTGGTATAGAGATGGTGAGTACAGGATAGATGGTTACACACAGGGCTGGTATAGAGATGGTGAGTACAGGATAGATGGTTACACCCCACACAGGGCTGGTATAGAGATGGTGAGTACAGGATAGATGGTTACACCCCACACAGGGCTGGTATAGAGATGGTGAGTACAGGATCTTAAAGCTGGTTACACCCCACACTAGCTGGTATAGAGATGGTGAGTACAGGATAGATGGTTACACCACACACAGGGCTGGTATAGAGATGGTGAGTACAGGATAGATGGTTACACCCCACACAGGGCTGGTATAGAGATGGTGAGTACAGGATCTTAAAGCTGGTTACACCCCACACTAGCTGGTATAGAGATGGTGAGTACAGGATCTTAAAGCTGGTTACACCCCACACTAGCTGGTATAGAGATGGTGAGTACAGGATCTTAAAGCTGGTTACACCCCACACTAGCTGGTATAGAGATGGTGAGTACAGGATCTTAAAGCTGGTTACACCCCACACTAGCTGGTATAGAGATGGTGAGTACAGGATCTTAAAGCTGGTTACACCCCACACATGGCTGGTATAGAGATGGTGAGTACAGGATCTTAAAGCTGGTTACACCCCACACATGGCTGGTATAGAGATGGTGAGTACAGGATCTTAAAGCTGGTTACACCCCACACAGGGCTGGTATAGAGATGGTGAGTACAGGATCTTAAAGCTGGTTACACCCCACACAGGGGTGGTATAGAGATGGTGAGTACAGGATCTTAAAGCTGGTTACACACAGGGCTGGTATAGAGATGGTGAGTACAGGATAGATGGTTACACCCACACAGGGCTGGTATAGAGATGGTGAGTACAGGATAGATGGTTACACCCCACACAGGGCTGGTATAGAGATGGTAAGTACAGGATCTTAAAGCTGGTTACACCCCACACAGGGCTGGTATAGAGATGGTGAGTACAGGATCTTAAAGCTGGTTACACCCCACACAGGGCTGGTATAGAGATGGTGAGTACAGGATCTTAAAGCTGGTTACACACAGGGCTGGTATAGAGATGGTGAGTACAGGATAGATGGTTACACCCACACAGGGCTGGTATAGAGATGGTGAGTACTGGATAGATGGTTACACCCCACACAGGGGTGGTATAGAGATGGTAAGTACAGGATCTTAAAGCTGGTTACACCCCACACAGGGCTGGTATAGAGATGGTGAGTACAGGATAGATGGTTACACCCCACACAGGGCTGGTATAGAGATGGTAAGTACAGGATCTTAAAGCTGGTTACACCCCACACAGGGCTGGTATAGAGATGGTGAGTACAGGATCTTAAAGCTGGTTACACCCCACACAGGGCTGGTATAGAGATGGTGAGTACAGGATCTTAAAGCTGGTTACACACAGGGCTGGTATAGAGATGGTGAGTACAGGATAGATGGTTACACCCACACAGGGCTGGTATAGAGATGGTGAGTACTGGATAGATGGTTACACCCCACACAGGGCTGGTATAGAGATGGTGAGTACTGGATAGATGGTTACACCCCACACAGGGGTGGTATAGAGATGGTGAGTACAGGATAGATGGTTACACCCACACATTGATATATAGGCCCAGCTAGACAACACAGTAACATATCATGCTGAATGTTAACCCTTTACATGTTGATCTGTGATTGGATGAACTAATAATAAGCTGTATGTTTTATTTTTTGGTGTGATTTGACATGCAGGATTAGTTGCACCTAAACTGTTTTTTGTAAGTTGTTTTGTATCACCTACATTAATCAGGGATTATCTATATTAATCTTATATCAACTGAACAAATAACCAATCTCCAGAATTAATCATGTTATACCTGAATTAATCTTGTATCACCCTCATTAATCTTGTATCACCTGAACTAATCTTGTATCACCTGAATTAATCCTGTATCCCCTGAATCAATCTTGTATCACCCGCATTAATCTTGTATCACCTGAACTAATCTTGTATTACCTGAATTAATCATGTATCACATGAATTAATCCTGTATCACCTGAATTAATCCTGTATATCCCCCCAACTTGCAGGTGCAGACCATCTCAATTTGAGTTGGGTAAATAAGTTGTTTTTCTCAACTTTCTAATTTTAGTTGCTCTATTTTTCATTTATTTATGCCAAGTTTCTTTTTAGTTGATAGTTTTTATTTCTTGATTTTATTTCTTCAAGATTCTATTTTTAGTTTGAATATTTCCCTTTCTTTTATGTCATAGATTGTATTTTAGTTTATTTATTTCTTCTTTTATTTATGACAAGATTCTTTTTTAGTTTCTATTTATTTATTTTTTCTTCTCTCTTTGTTTAGTTCTTACTTTTTCATCACTTTTTACTTCTTAGTTGTTGTTTTTTAAATTTGCCCTAGCTTTTAGATCTCTCACTTTCATTTTAAAACTTTCTTAATTTTTTCTTTCAATTTCATGTTTTTAAAAATACAAAATTTAATACATTTTATTTTAAAAATTTCATCTAGTAATTTTCAAACTTTTATATATTTTATTGTAAACATCCATCTCCTTCAAGTAGGCTTTATAATTTACCATGTTAGTTTTTAATATGGAAATGGTTTTATCATTTCAAATTTAATTTTCCCTTATCATTATCTTCTTTAAACTAAGACCCAAAGCCAATCAACTTCCATTTTAACCAGTTTTTACAGTGTGCTAAATTAATTGATTAATTGATTTTTTTATAGACAGTTTTAACTTTAATAGTTCATATTTCATCTATGTATATATATATATATATATATATATATATATATATATATATATATATATATATATATATATATATATATATATATATATATATATATATATATATATATATGTATATATATATATATATATATATATATATATATATATATATATATATATATATATATATATATATATATATATATATATATATATATATTGTTAGGGCTCCCTATCCTTGAAATTTAAATTTTTCTATATTTATTCTTTGACAATCAAAGAAGCTTAACTCATGCAAACAAGCAGTAATACATTATTACTTCCCTTGAGGGAGCACGTTCTAGTAAATGGTATATGTGATTACATAAACTTATACTTATAGGCCCCATTGTATTGCTCAGTCTATAGGTTCTAGATCTAGATCTATGTGTGTTTATAATCCTTGGGTGGTTTATTTGAAAAACAAAACGCAGAAAATAGAACTAGAAAAACGAGGCTTTTAAATCTACAAGTTTAGAACTAGACTTCAGAGTTGTGACAAACACACGTTTACAGAACACAACGTTTAGAGAACACACGTTTACAGAATACGTTTACAGAACACAACGTTTAGAGAACACACGTTTACAGAATACGTTTACAGAACACAACGTTTAGAGAACACACGTTTACAAAACACACGTTTACAGAATACGTTTACAGAACACACGTTTACAGAACACAACGTTTATAAAACACACGTTTACACAACACACGTTTACAGAACACACGTTTAAAGGACACGTTTACAGAACACACGTTTAGAGAACACACGTTTACAGAACACACGTTTACAGAACACACGTTTACAGAACACACGTTTACAGAACACACGTTTACAGAACACACGTTTACAGAACACACGTTTAGAGAACACACGTTTACAGAACACACGTTTAGAGAACACACGTTTACAGAACACACGTTTACAGAACACACGTTTACAGAACACACGTTTACAGAACACACGTTTACAGAACACACGTTTACAGAACACACGTTTACAGAACACACGTTTAGAGAACACACGTTTACAGAACACACGTTTACAGAACACACGTTTACAGAACACACGTTTACAGAACACACGTTTACAGAACACACGTTTACAGAACACACGTTTACAGAACACACGTTTACAGAACACACGTTTACAGAACACGTTTACAGAACACACGTTTACAGAACACACGTTTACAGAACACGTTTACAGAACACACGTTTAGAGAACACACGTTTACACAACACACGTTTACAGAACACACGTTTACAGAACACGTTTACAGAACACACGTTTACAGAACACACGTTTACAGAACACGTTTACAGAACACACGTTTACAGAACACACGTTTACAGAACACGTTTACAGAACACACGTTTAGAGAACACACGTTTACACAACACACGTTTACAGAACACACGTTTACAGAACACGTTTACAGAACACACGTTTAGAGAACACACGTTTACAGAACACACGTTTACAGAACACACGTTTACAGAACACACGTTTACAGAACACACGTTTACAGAACACGTTTACAGAACACACGTTTAGAGAACACACGTTTACACAACACACGTTTACAGAACACACGTTTACAGAACACACGTTTACAGAACACACGTTTAGAGAACACACGTTTAGAGAACACACGTTTACAGAACACACGTTTACAGAACACACGTTTACAGAACACACGTTTAGAGAACACACGTTTACAGAACACACGTTTACAGAACACGTTTACAGAACACACGTTTACAGAACACGTTTACAGAACACACGTTTAGAGAACACACGTTTACACAACACACGTTTACAGAACACACGTTTACAGAACACACGTTTAGAGAACACACGTTTAGAGAACACACGTTTACAGAACACACGTTTACAGAACACACGTTTACAGAACACACGTTTAGAGAACACACGTTTAGAGAACACACGTTTACAGAACACACGTTTAGAGAACACACGTTTACAGAACACACGTTTACAGAACACACGTTTAAAGAATGCATGTTTATAAAAAAAACATTTACAAAACACGTTTACAAAAAAAAAAACGTTAACATAAGACGTTTAAAAAACATTTACGAAATACACGTTTACAAAAAAAAATCGTTAACGAAAAACGTTTACAAAAACAGTTTTTTTAAAAAACGTTTACAAACAAAAAAACCGTTAACAATACACTAGTTTGTGCAGGCCCACTTTATTTAAAAACAGTTGATCCCTACAGAGTGCAACTAGATTCTGTAAGCTTTCTATTTATAGAAAGTGTTGATCACCCAAAACTAGAGTGCAGCTGCAATCTATTCTATTTAAAGCAACAACAAAAATTAAATCTGTAAATTGAATAGTTTATTTGGTAAGCGAGTCTTCTTTCTCTAAATAAACATTCGGCACAAAGGCTAGATCTCTAAGAACCCCCCATTCATTCTTCCAATAAAAGACCGGCACTGCTAACTTGTGTGTAACACACACGTCAATCACCCCCCCCCCCCCACCCTCCTATGTTGACTGTGCCACCGACTGTAGTGACAACAGATCGCGCCTGTGAAAGTTGACTCGCGGGTCGTGGAGATCGATATCTCCCACCAACAGTTGGGTGAAATACCCGATCACTTGCTAGCCCAGTGCTAGCCTATGTAGCTCGGACAGGTAACTTGTTCTTTTTCTGTTGGCTAGGTTACACACACTTCCGGTTTTAGTATATCTTTTTCGTCTTTTTAATGTAGGATTTAAACATTGTATTCATTATGGATTACGTTGATTACGTTTTTCTGATACATTGATAGACGGTGGGTATTTTGGTGTAGGTTGTGTCAGCACTAGCGAAATCCTGGTCAGTTAACACAGAAAACACGGCGGATATTTTAATACTGACCAAATGTATGTCGACAATGACCAAATGTCTACTGACACTGACCAAATGTCTGCCAACACTGACCAAATGTCTGCCAACACTGACCAAATGTCTGCCAACACTGACCAAATGTCTGTCAACACTGACCAAATGTCTGTCAACACTGACCAAATGTCTGTCTACACTGACCAAATGTTTGTCTACACTGACCAAATGTCTGCCAACACTGACCAAATGTCTGTCAACACTGACCAAATGTCTGTCAACACTGACCAAATGTCTGTCCACGTGTGGGGTAGCGAGAGTGCCGTGTTGTGTTCTGACTGAGACCGTAGCCACAACACATTTACTGTTGCTGTTCACTGGGCGTACCTTATTGAAAGACAGATTCACCTTTCGAATAGACTGACTTTTCCTGGTGACGTCATGTGCTTGATTTATCTCCCTTGTGTCGGCTTGTTGTTTGTCAGGCTTACCTCCCTTATCTGGTCTTGTTGTTGTCAGACTTACCTGTCTTATGTGGGCTTGTTGTTAGACTTATCTCCCTTATGTTTTTGTTTGTCAGTTTTACCTCCCTTATCTGGTCTTGTTGTTTGTCAGACTTACCTCCCTTATCTGGGTTTGTAGTTGTTAGGCTTACCTCCAGAATGTGGGCTTGCCCACTTTCTCCAAAAAGCATTACTTTGTTCTGGAATAATTGGAGAAATCAATAATATCGATAAGAATTGGGTTGGCATGTGGTGTGGGAGGTGGGTGGGAAAGTTGTTGGTGTGTTGGAGGTGTAGTTTGGTGGGTGGGAGGTGTTTGCTGGGGAGGTGTATATGGGTGGGTTGGTTTTGAGTCGGTTGAAAGGTGTGTCGGTGGGTGGGAGGTGTGTGTATGGGTTGGAGGTGTGTGTCAATGGGTGGGAGGTGTGTGTATGGGTGGGAGTTGTGTGTCGGTGGGTGGGAGGTGTGTGTCAATGGGTGGGAGGTGTGTGTATGGGTGGGAGTTGTGTGTCGGTGGGTGGGAGTTGTGTGTATGGGTGGGAGTTGTGTGTCGGTGGGTGGGAGGTGTGTGTCGGTGGGTGGGAGGTGTGTGTATGGGTGGGAGTTGTGTGTCGGTGGGTGGGAGGTGTGTGTATGGGTGGGAGTTGTGTGTCGGTGGGTGGGAGGTGTGTGTCGGTGGGTGGGAGGTGTGTGTCGGTGGGTGGGAGGTGTATGTCGGATGGTGGGAGGTGTGTGTCGGTGGTTAGGGGTGTGTGTCGGTGGTTAGGGGTGTGTGTCGGTGGGTGGGAGGTGTATGTCGGATGGTGGGAGGTGTGTGTCGGTGGGTGGGAGGTGTGTGTCGATGGGTGGGAGGTGTGTGTCGGTGGGTGGGAGGTGTGTGTCGATGGGTGGGAGGTGTGTGTCGGTGGGTGGGAGGTGTGTGTCGATGGGTGGGAGGTGTGTGTCGGTGGGTGGGAGGTGTGTGTCGATGGGTGGGAGGTGGGTGTCGGTGGGTGGGAGGTGTGTGTCGATGGGTGGGAGGTGTGTGTCGGTGGGTGGGAGGTGTGTGTCGATGGGTGGGAGGTGGGTGTCTCTGGATGGGAGGTGTGTGTCGGTGGGTGGGAGGTGTGTGTCGGTGGGTGGGAGGTGTGTGTCGGTGGGTGGGAGGTGTGTGTCGGTGGGTGGGAGGTGTGTGTATGGGTGGGAGGTGTGTGTCGATGGGTGGGAGGTGTGTGTCGGTGGGTGGGAGGTGTGTGTCGATGGGTGGGAGGTGTGTGTCGGTGGGTGGGAGGTGTGTGTCGGTGGGTGGGAGGTGTGTGTCGATGGGTGGGAGGTGTGTGTCTCTGGATGGGAGGTGTGTGTCGGTGGGTGGGAGGTGTGTGTCGATGGGTGGGAGGTGTGTGTCGGTGGGTGGGAGGTGTGTGTCGGTGGGTGGGAGGTGTATGTCGGATGGTGGGAGGTGTGTGTCGATGGGTGGGAGGTGTGTGTCGATGGGTGGGAGGTGTGTGTCGGTGGGTGGGAGGTGTGTGTCGATGGGTGGTGTGTGTCGGTGGGTGGGAGGTGTGTGTCGATGGGTGGGAGGTGTGTGTCGGTGGGTGGGAGGTGTGTGTCGGTGGGTGGGAGGTGTGTGTCGATGGGTGGGAGGTGTATGTCGGATGGTGGGAGGTGTGTGTCGATGGGTGGGAGTTGTGTGTCGGTGGGTGGGAGTTGTGTGTAGTGCCTTGTGTCAGTGACCGTAGACTCAGCCTACAGACCTTTGATCTCAGTCAGTGTCTAATCGCTTCACGTCAAGTTCTGCACATTTTCAGTCTGTTCCACCAACCTCAAAAAGATTCACTAAGACTTTCAGGCTGGCTATCTTTGATTGAATGTATCTTCTAGCACCGCCAGCACATAGCATCTGATGAAATGTATCTTTCAGGCAATAGGAGGCAACCCCAAACCTTACAGGTCAAAGTTCACAGTGGTTGAACTGCCAGGATTAGAGCGGCTAGTTAATCATTCAGGCTACGCAACAGGCTGGGAAGGGCAAGGAATTAACCGAGCTCTAACTGCCCTAAACAACGTGGTTACCTCCCTTAGCAGCCAGCCCGACCCCCAGCGGGTTATTAATTACAAGTAAGTTGTGTAAATAGCATCCACTAATCCGGCCCGTGTGTGCAGAAATGTGGACAAACACTGAGACAAGTTTCTCTCAAATCTTCTCATAAATAAGCACATTATGCCGAGTGGAGCAAGCTATAAATCCGTCAAGCGATTTGTTTAGCTACATTGTTATGATGAATGCATTCAAAACTAATGCAAGCTCAACATTCTGGTAAAACAAACCTTGACAGTAGACTAGACAATTGTACCGTTATTATATGTCTGAGGCCAGAAAAAAAGCAGCTAAGATGATAAAAAATTTTTTTGCAAAACTGGGACTAACTGAAGGATTAAACTCTTCATACGCTAGATAAGTTTTCTGTCTTGCTATTTTTTAATTCTTACATTTTAGGGATTCCTAAGCCTATTGACCATCGTCCCTATGATATTTCAGTGAGTCTAGTTTGTCGTCCCCCCCCCCCCCCCCCGAGACTTCAGTAAGTCCAGTTCGACTCTCGACCCCTGATATTCCAGTGAGTCCCATTTGACCCCCGACCCCTGATATTCCAGTGAGTCCCATTTGACCCCCGACCCCTGATATTCCAGTGAGTCCCATTTGACCCCCGCCCTCTGATACTTCAGTGAGTCCCATTTGACCCCCGCCCCCTGATATTCAGTGAGTCCCATTTGTCCCCCGACCCCTGCTATTTGAGTAAGTCCCATTTGACCCCCGACCCCTGCTATTTCAATGAGTCCCATTTGACCCCCGTCCCCTGATATTTCACTGAGTCCCATTGACCACAACCCCTGCTATTTCAGTGAGTCCCATTTGACTCCCGACCCCTGCTATTTGAGTAAGTCCCGTTTGACCCCCGACCCCTGCTATTTCAGTGAGTCCCATTTGACTCCCGACCCCTGCTATTTGAGTAAGTCCCGTTTGACCCCAGACCCCTGCTATTTCAGTGAGTCCCGTTTGACCCCCGACCCCTGCTATTTCAGTGAGTCCCATTTGACCCGCCTCCTGCAGGAAGAACTAGGCGGGAACTGCCACACCAAAGCCCTGGTCTGCTTGAAGCCAGAGACCAACCCACAGACCCTCGCAGAGATCATCCGCTTCTGCTCCAAGCTAGATCAGGTGAAAAACTTTCCTGTGGTCAACGACCCCCAGGCACAGGTAAATTCTGCTGGTCAAGCAAATAAACATTGTCTAGGTGTGCCTATAGTGAGGGTGTTAACAGCAGTAATTGTTGGCATTGTGGAAATAGTAATGGTTAACACTGTGTGAATGTTAACAATATCTGTTGTGTGAATGTTAGCAATTACCATAAAGTCAATTATAAAAGTTAACGTGTATGTCCCCAGGGTCTCCTCACCCAATACAGAGCCAGGATTTTAGATTTAAAACTTGGACCAGCCATGACGTCAACAGCACCGTACAGCTCTGAAGCTGCACAGGATATCCGCAGGCTTCAGACAGAGAATGTAAGTCATCCTGCCTGTCTTGTTTCTCTCTTGTAACATCCTCTGGTTTCTGTTGACTAGCTGTGATATCATGGGGGCTACAGACCTGCCCATACACTGCCCATCTGGTCAGTGCCTTTGGTCCATGTCTGAAGTTTATCTGCCCATACACTGCCCATCACCTCAGTGCCTTTGGTCCATGTCTGAAGTTTACCCGCCCGTACACTGCCCATCTGGTCAGTGCCTTTGGTCCCTGTCTGAAGTTTACTTTTCTTGTTGCCAGCTGGTGCTGAAGGACCAAAATGAACGTCTGCAGCTGCGACTGGATCAGCTGAGCAGCAAGTTTGGTCACGTGGCCAGCACCAAGACTGACCTCTCGCAACAGCTGCTGCTTAGTGAGGAGGAGAAACTCAAGGTCAGTTTAGTGATAGGAGATAGGTCAGTTAGTGCTACCAGGTATAGTACATCTCACCTAACATTCCAATGCAGGTCTGACCTAACTGTCCCATGTAGGTCTGACCTAACTGCCCCATGTTGTAGGTCTGACCTAACTGTCCCATGTAGGTCTGACCTAACTGTCCCATGTAGGTCTGACCTAACTGTCCCATGTAGTTCTGACCTAACTGTCCCATGTAGGTCTGACCTAACTGTCCCATGATGTAGTTCTGACCTAACTGTCCCATGTAGGTCTGACCTAACTGTCCCATGATGTAGGTCTGACCTAACTGTCCCATGTAGGTCTGACCTAACTGTCCCATGTAGGTCTGACCTAACTGTCCCATGTAGGTCTGACCTAACTGTCCCATGTAGTTCTGACCTAACTGTCCCATGTAGGTCTGACCTAACTGTCCCATGTAGGTCTGACCTAACTGTCCCATGTAGTTCTGACCTAACTGTCCCATGTAGGTCTGACCTAACTGTCTAATGATGTAGGTCTGACCTAACTGTCCCATGTAGGTCTGACCTAACTGTCCCATGTAGGTCTGACCTAACTGTCCCATGTAGGTCTGACCTAACTGTCCCATGTTGTAGGTCTGACCTAACTGTCCCATGTTGTAGGTCTGACCTAACTGTCCCATGTTGTAGGTCTGACCTAACTGTCCCATGTTGTAGGTCTGACCTAACTGTCCCATGTAGGTCTGACCTAACTGTCCCATGTTGTAGGTCTGACCTAACTGTCCCATGTAGGTCTGACCTAACTGTCCCATGTAGGTCTGACCTAACTGTCCCATGTAGGTCTGACCTAACTGTCCCATGTAGTTCTGACCTAACTGTCCCATGTAGGTCTGACCTAACTGTCCCATGTAGGTCTGACCTAACTGTCCCATGTAGTTCTGACCTAACTGTCCCATGTTGGTCTGACCTAACTGTCTAATGATGTAGGTCTGACCTAACTGTCCCATGTAGGTCTGACCTAACTGTCCCATGTAGGTCTGACCTAACTGTCCCATGTAGGTCTGACCTAACTGTCCCATGTTGTAGGTCTGACCTAACTGTCCCATGTTGTAGGTCTGACCTAACTGTCCCATGTTGTAGGTCTGACCTAACTGTCCCATGTTGTAGGTCTGACCTAACTGTCCCATGTAGGTCTGACCTAACTGTCCCATGTAGGTCTGACCTAACTGTCCCATTTAGGTCTGACCTAACTGTTCCATGTTGTAGGTCTGACCTAACTGTCCCATGATGTAGTTCTGACCTAACTGTCCCATGTAGGTCTGACCTAACTGTACCATGTAGGTCTGACCTAACTGTCCCATGATGTTGTCCTACAGGTCTCCCAGTCACTGGTAGAGATGCAGATAGAAAACAACAAAATCAAGGAGGAAGCTGAAGCCAGCAACTTTGAACTCACCAACAAGGTCAGAGGTCATTTATAGTTTTAAGTTTCACTTTGATTCAGGTCACAACACAAAATAACCCAGAAAAACTCATGGGTCATTTATAGTTTGATTTTTTAAAATTTGACAAAATCACAATACAAAGTGACCCAAAAAACCAGGTGTCATAGCCTATGGCTCTATAGTACCCTGTATGTTATGTTAATAAAATTTGTTAATTAAGCATTTTACAAACACCGTTTGTTAATTCAACCATTGACAAACTTTGCTGTGCCTGTCAATGAAACCTACACCATATTTGAATGCTGCTCCTGGTAAATGAAACCTACACCATATATGAATGCTGCCCCTGGTAAATGAAACCCACACCATATTTGAATGCTGCTCCTGGTAAATGAAACCTACACCACATTTGAATGCTACCCCTGGTAAATGAAACCCACACCATATATGAATGCTGCCCCTGGTAAATGAAACCCACACCATATTTGAATGCTGCTCCTGGTAAATGAAACCTACACCACATTTGAATGCTACCCCTGGTAAATGAAACCCACACCATATATGAATGCTGCCCCTGGTAAATGAAACCTACACCATATTTGAATGCTACCCCTGGTAAATGAAACCTACACCATATATGAATGCTGCCCCTGCCCACAGATCATCATGTTGGAGAACCAGCTGCTGGAGGCCCAGAACACTGGAGACAAGCACAAGAGGACAGCCAAAGCTGCCAAGGAGAGACTCAATGAGCTGGAGACTGATAGGAAAGATCTCGCTGACGAATACGTCGTTCTCAAAACAAACTACTTAGCTCTAACTAACGAGCACAAGAGAGAGGTGATGCATTTCTCATAGTTTAAACCCAAAAGGGATAAATATGTTTGATTTTTCTGCACCCGAAATAAGAATTTAAAGGGTTAAAATGGTTTGTTTTCTACACCCGAAATAAGAATTTAAAGGGTTAAAATGGTTTATTTTCTACACCAAAAATGAGAATTTAAAGTGTTGAAAGTGGTGTATTTATTAATGCACAAGAAATTAGAATTTAAAGGATTAAATTGTTTGATTTCTTACAACAGGATTGAGAATTTAAAGAGTTAAAAATATTATATTTTACCTACCCACAGTGCACAAGAAATGAAAATTTGGCCATAGAGCTGCTAAATCTGGTCAACAACAAAGCAGCCTTGATGAGGCAGGTCATGATCCTGACCAACGGTGACCCCAGCCAGGTGGATGACCCCAACGCTGAGATAGCCAGGATCAGGGCCATCATTCAACAAAACACATCTGGGAAGATCAAGGTCAGTCGCACTACCAAGGTGGTTTAATGGGAAGGTCAAGGTCAGGGTTACTGCTAAGGTTGTTTCATGGGAAGATCAATTAGGTCTTACTACCCATGCTTTTTAATGCTTACAGTTAAACATTTTATTTTGAAAAGTTATTTTGAGATACTGATCAAATTCTAAAAGAAATATTTTTAGCTTTAGAGTGAGGGCTAAACAAAAGCTAACTAAAGTCAAAGACTAAATGTAGGCCTACTAATTGTTTTTAAAACTTAAATAGTGACATACTCTAAAGTCTTTACAATATATAAATACTAAAAGTAGAAGAAAATAACAAGAATAATACCGTTATGATAGTAAGCTTTTCAATGTATTTTTTAAAAAAATTAAATAAACTGTCTTTAGCTCTGAAAGTAAAAATAAAATACTTAAAAAAAAACTTTTTAAAAAACCACGTTTTCCTTGTGGACTAAAAAGTAGAAAATAAATTTTTCTTTCGACCCAAGGGGATCAACGCGGGTCGGGCAGATTTATGATTAAAGCGAAAAGCACACAACACACGAATTTTGGAAATTTGATGGTGAACGTACCCACGTTTTTTGTCATCAAATGTATGAACAGTCATCACAAGAACCTGCACAGCTCGAGAAGCACAAAATCTACGAGCAGTCATTGGTAGATCCCCTTGGGTCGAAAGAAAAATTTATTTTCTACTTTTTAGTCCACAAGAAAAACGTGGTTTTTTAAAAAGTTTTTTTTAAGTATTTTATTTTCTCCTTTTTAGTCCGTTGCTACACATGAAAAACGTGGTTTTTAAAAAGTTTTTTATATAGTTTATTTTCTACTTTATCTAATGACTTGATTAAGTATGACTTGACTAAGTGTTTTTAAAATACACGGACTAAAAATCTTGAGCGACCGATACGCTTTAAACAGAGAAGGGGCGTAATTTAATTAAGCTAATTTAGGTCTCTAATTGCTAGTTTTTTATGATTGCATCTGAAATTGTTAGGCGATGACATTTGATGACACGAATTTTGGAAATTGGATGGTGAACGTACCCACGTTTTTTGTCATCACATGCCGTGACCAGGATTCGAACCTGGGTTGTCGCGGCCACAACGCGAAGTACTAACCACTATACGATCACGGCCAGCGCGCTCACATCGATTGGGGCCGAAGTAACTGTGTCAATAGGCCTCCAGTCTTGTCGGTATCTTTAGAAATCATGTCCTCAATTTTAGGGTCCTTGGGGCGTAATTTTATTAAGCTAATTTAGGTCTCTAATTGCTAGTTTTTATGATTGCATCTGAAATTGTTAGGCGAAAATAGCCTGCATGCCGAATTTCAGATCTCTAGAGCAATCAGAAGTGGGCTAATTTTCGTTGTCAATTTTAACAACAAACCCACAAACGCGAAGCTGAGTTAAGAAAAACGTGTTAAAATAAAAGTATTAGTCTCAAAATGTATTGAACTATTTCTGGAATGACAAAAGCATTTACTTGTATTGTTATCTGTTATTTCTAAAAAAAATAATTATGTTCATTTTGTTATTTTAATACATTTCAAAGCTTCTTATTGTAGAGGTTTTTACATTTGTCTTATTTGTCCTCACTTTTACCAGGCTGATGAAATTCTTGGAACCCAACGGGACAGAGAACTTATTGAGGACAGGGTAATTGTACCATAAGTTTTTGGTCCAGTTTAGCAAGGCTTTACTTGTTTTGATAAACCTGTTTGATATCTTAATGTTCAGTCCCACATCTGTATTTAACTTGACACAGTGTAGAGCCAAATTGTTGCGCTTTACATCAACATATTTTGTCTTTCATGTTGTTTGCCATTTTTTTATTACTGTGCTTTACATCAACATATTTTGTCTTTCATGTTGTTTGCCATTTTTTTATTACTGTGCTTTACATCAACATTTTTTGTCTGTCAGTTGTTTGCCATTTTTTATTGCTGTGCTTTACGTCAACATTTTTTGTCTGTCAGTTGTTTGCCATTTTTTATTGCTGTGCTTTACACCAACATTTTTTGTCTGTCAGTTGTTTGCCATTTTTTTATTGCTGCGCTTTACGTCAACATTTTTTGTCTGTCAGTTGTTTGCCATTTTTTTATTGTTGCGCTTTACATCAACATTTTTTGTCTGTCAGTTGTTTGCCATTATTTTATTGCTGCGCTTTACGTCAACATTTTTTGTCGGTCAGGTGTTTGCCATTTTTTTATTGTTGCGCTTTACATCAACATTTTAGTCATTCAGTTGTTTGCCATTTTTTTATTGCTGTGCTTTACATCAACATATTTTGTCTGTCAGTTATTTGCCATTTTTTTAATTGTTGCGCTTTACACCACCATTTTTTGTCTGTCAGTTGTTTGCCATTTTTATATTGCTCTGCTTTACACCAAAATTTTTTGTCTGTCAGTTGTTTGCCATTTTTTTTATTGCTGCGCTTTACACCAACATTTTTTGTCTGTCAGTTGTTTGCCATTTTTTTATTGCTGTGCTTTACACCAACATTTTTTGTCTGTCATTTGTTTGCCATTTTTTTAATTGCTGCGCTTTACACCAACATTTTTTGTCTGTCAGTTGTTTGCCATTTTTTTATTGTTATGCTTTACATCAACATTTTTTGTCTGTCAGTTGTTTGCCAGCCAAAGGAAGTTTGAGTCAGAGATTAACAGAATCAAAACAGATTATGGTGATGAGCACAAGAAATATGAGTCTCGCATGTAAGTCATTCGTACTGCTAGAGATATGACTCACAATCATTTTTAGTGCCGGCAATATGACTTACAGTCAGTTAACACTGCCAGAAATATGACTTAATGCTATTGATACTGCTAGAAATATGACTTACAGTCATTTTACATTGGCCTTTGATTTTTGACCTAACTGAATTTTTAAAAGTTGAAATGACATGAAGGACTGCTTTGAAAATATAAATCAACTATTAGGTAGTGTATTTGATTTAAGGAATGATGTTGATCTTTTTATAGGAACTCTTTAATGAAGGAGTTGGCAGATACAAGAGTGTTGGCCAGGGAGAGGCAGCAGAAGATATCTGAGCTCAACGCTGTAAGCATTTTATTTCTCTTACCCTCGCTGTAAGCATGTTCTCACACATTTTATTTCTCTTACCCTTTCTTTTTAAATTGTTTGGAAGTTTCAAAAATTTGTGTGGAAAAGCTGTCATTTTTTACTGACTTCAAACTTTTCTAACATGATATTTTTAACATGAAACTTTTTGAACGTAGAAACATTTTAAACATGAAACTTTTCTAACATGACAATTTTTGTACATAGAAACTGATCACACTGAGGGGGGAGAAGGAGGCGGTGGAGACACAAACCAACAGGCTGCAACACAAGGTCAAGGATCTTGGTGAAGATTTCAGGGCCAGGCTGGTCAAGTATGTCGAGGATATTGCTGTAAGTTGGTTGGTGGTAGAGATGTTGCTGTAAGTTGGTAGGTGGTAGAGATGTTGCTGTAAGTTGGTAGGTGGTAGAGATGTTGCTGTAAGTTGGTAGGTGGTAGAGATGTTGCTGTAAGTTGGTTGGTGGTAGAGATGTTGCTGTAAGTTGGTTGGTGGTAGAGATGTTGCTGTAAGTTGGTAGGTGGTAGAGATGTTGCTGTAAGTTGGTAGGTGGTAGAGATGTTGCTGTAAGTTGGTAGGTGGTAGAGATGTTGCTGTAAGTTGGTAGGTGGTAGAGATGTTGCTGTAAGTTGGTAGGTGGTAGAGATGTTGCTGTAAGTTGGTTGGTGGTAGAGATGTTGCTGTAAGTTGGTTGGTGGTAGAGATGTTGCTGTAAGTTGGTAGGTGGTAGAGATGTTGCTGTAAGTTGGTTGGTGGTAGAGATGTTGCTGTAAGTTGGTAGGTGGTCCAGATGTTGTAAGTTGGTTGGTGGTAGAGATGTTGCTGTAAGTTGGTTGGTGGTAGAGATGTTGCTGTAAGTTGGTTGGTGGTAGAGATGTTGCTGTAAGTTGGTTGGTGGTAGAGATGTTGCTGTAAGTTGGTAGGTGGTCCAGATGTTGTAAGTTGGTTGGTGGTAGAGATGTTGCTGTAAGTTGGTTGGTGGTAGAGATGTTGCTGTAAGTTGGTTGGTGGTAGAGATGTTGCTGTAAGTTGGTTGGTGGTAGAGATGTTGCTGTAAGTTGGTAGGTGGTCCAGATGTTGTAAGTTGGTTGGTGGTAGAGATGTTGCTGTAAGTTGGTTGGTGGTCCAGATGTTGTAAGTTGGTTGGTGGTCCAGATGTTGTAGGTTGGTTGGTGGTAGAGATGTTGCTGTAAGTTGGTAGGTGGTAGAGATGTTGTAGGTTGGTTGGTGGTCCAGATGTTGTAAGTTGGTTGGTGGTCCAGATGTTGTAGGTTGGTTGGTGGTCCAGATGTTGTAAGTTGGTTGGTGGTAGAGATGTTGTAGGTTGGTTGGTGGTAGAGATGTTGCTGTAAGTTGGTTGGTGGTAGAGATGTTGTAGGTTGGTTGGTGGTAGAGATGTTGCTGTAAGTTGGTTGGTGGTAGAGATGTTGCTGTAAGTTGGTTGGTGGTAGAGATGTTGCTGTAAGTTGGTTGGTGGTAGAGATGTTGTAAGTTGGTTGGTGGTAGAGATGTTGTAGGTTGGTTGGTGGTAGAGATGTTGCTGTAAGTTGGTAGGTGGTAGAGATGTTGCTGTAAGTTGGTAGGTGGTCCAGATGTTGTAGGTTGGTTGGTGGTCCAGATGTTGTAGGTTGGTTGGTGGTCCAGATGTTGTAGGTTGGTTGGTGGTCCAGATATTGTAGGTTGGTTGGTGGTCCAGATGTTGTAAGTTGGTTGGTGGTCCAGATATTGTAAGTTGGTGGTCCAGATGTTGTTGTAAGTTGGTTGGTGGTCCAGATGTTGCTGTAAGTTGGTGGTCCAGATGTTGTAAGTTGGTCGGTGGTCCAGATGTTGTTGTTGGTGTAAGTTGGTTGGTGGTTCAGATGCTGCTGTTGTTATTTTTGTGGGCTGCTGTTGTTGTTGTTGCCGTTTTTGTCATTGTTTTTGTTGCCGTTGTTATTGTTGGTGGTGATGTTGCAGATGTTGTTGTGATTGTTTCTGTTGTTGCTATTGTTGTTGTTACACCTACTGCTGTACCATGTACTACACACACCAATCATAGTCCCACCAACCTTACATCACATGTTTTTATACTTGAAGATTTTGTGTAAACATTTCCATGTACTGATGGCCAATCTGCCCTACAGGAATTTGTTGACAAAGGCAGCGGTGTACCTGGCCAGCAACATGAGCGCAAGATGAGGGAGTATGTGGACAGCATGCTCAAGGACATTCGAAGGTCACACAAGGAAAGAGAGGACCAGTTGAGTCAGGCAGCACAGACCTTTAAGAAACGCCTGCAGAATACAGTGCACAGCTACGAGCAGGTGTTGATAGCTTACAGGTGAGGTCACAGCTATGGGCAGGTGTTGATAGCTTACAGGTGAGGTCACAGCTATGGGCAGGTGTTGATAGCTTACAGGTGAGGTCACAGCTATGGGCAGGTGTTGATAGCTTACAGGTGAGGTCACAGCTATGAGCAGGTGTTGATAGCTTACAGGTGAGGTCACAGCTACGAGCAGGTGTTGATAGCTTACAGGTGAGGCCACAGCTATGAGCAGGTGTTGATAGCTTACAGGTGAGGTCACAGGTACTACTAGGTGTTGATAGCTTACATGTGAGGTCACAGCTATGGGCAGGTGTTGATAGCTTACAGGTGAGGTCACAGGTACTACTAGGTGTTGATAGCTTACAGGTGAGGTCACAGCTATGAGCAGGTGTTGATAGCTTACAGGTGAGGTCACAGCTATGAGCAGGTGTTGATAGCTTACAGGTGAGGTCACAGGTACCACTAGGTGTTGATAGCTTACAGGTGAGGTCACAGCTACGAGCAGGTGTTGATAGCTTACAGGTGAGGTCACAGGTACCACTAGGAGTTGATAGCTTACAGGTGAGGTCACAGCTACGAGCAGGTGTTGATAGCTTACAGGTGAGGCCACAGGTACCACTAGGTGTTGATAGCTTACAGGTGAGGTCACAGCTACGAGCAGGTGTTGATAGCTTACAGGTGAGGTCACAGGTACCACTAGGTGTTGATAGCTTACAGGTGAGGTCACAGCTATGGGCAGGTGTTGATAGCTTACAGGTGAGGCCACAGGTACCACTAGGTGTTTATAGCTTACAGGTGAGGTCACAGCTATGAGCAGGTGTTGATAGCTTACAGGTGAGGCCACAGGTACCACTAGGTGTTTATAGCTTACAGGTGAGGTCACAGCTATGAGCAGGTGTTGATAGCTTACAGGTGAGGTCACAGCTACGAGCAGGTGTTGATAGCTTACAGGTGAGGTCACAGCTATGAGCAGGTGTTGATAGCTTACAGGTGAGGTCACAGCTATGAGCAGGTGTTGATAGCTTACAGGTAAGGTCACAGCTACGAGCAGGTGTTGATAGCTTACAGGTGAGGTCACAGCTATGAGCAGGTGTTGATAGCTTACAGGTGAGGTCACAGCTATAACAGGTGTTGATAGCTTACAGGTGAGGTCACAGCTATGAGCAGGTGTTGATAGCTTACAGGTGAGGTCACAGCTATGGGTAGGTGTTGATAGCTTACAGGTGAGGTCACAGCTATGAGCAGGTGTTGATAGATTACAGGTGAGGTCACAGGTATCACTAGGTGTTGATAGCTTACAGGTGATCACAGCTATAACAGGTGTTGATAGCTTACAGGTGAGGTAACAGCTATGAGCAGGTGTTGATAGCTTACAGGTGAGGTCACAGCTATGAGCAGGTGTTGATAGCTTACAGGTGAGGTCACAGCTATGGGCAGGTGTTGATAGCTTACAGGTGAGGTCACATTTACGAGCAGGTGTTGATAGCTTACAGGTGAGGTCACAGCTATGAGCAGGTGTTGATAGCTTACAGGTGAGGTCACAGCTATGGGCAGGTGTTGATAGCTTACAGGTGAGGTCACAGCTATGAGCAGGTGTTGATAGCTTACAGGTGAGGTCACAGCTATAACAGGTGTTGATAGCTTACAGGTGAGGTCACAGCTATGAGCAGGTGTTGATAGCTTACAGGCGAGGTCACAGCTATGGGTAGGTGTTGATAGATTACAGGTGAGGTCACAGGTACCACTAGGTGTTGATAGCTTACAGGTGAGGTCACAGCTTTAACAGGTGTTGATAGCTTACAGGTGAGGTCACAGCTATGAGCAGGTGTTGATAGCTTACAGGTGAGGTCACAGCTATGGGTAAGTGTTGATAGCTTACAGGTGAGGTCACAGCTATGAGCAGGTGTTGATAGCTTACAGGTGAGGTCACAGCTATGGGCAGGTGTTGATAGCTTACAGGTGAGGTCACAGCTATGGGCAGGTGTTGATAGCTTACAGGTGAGGTCACAGCTATAACAGGTGTTGATAGCTTACAGGTGAGGTCACAGCTATGAGCAGGTGTTGATAGCTTACAGGTGAGGTCACAGCTATAACAGGTTTTGATAGCTTACAGGTGAGGTCACAGCGATAACAGGTGTAGATAGCTTACAGGTGAGTTCACAGCGATAACAGGTGTAGATAGCTTACAGGTGAGGTCACAGCTATGAGCAGGTGTTGATAGCTTACAGGTGAGGTCACAGCTATGAGCAGGTGTTGATAGCTTACAGGTGAGGTCACAGCTATAACAGGTGTTGATAGTTTAGAGGTGGTCACAGCTACCAGCAGTTATTGATAGGTTACAAATGAGGTCACAGCTATAGATTGTTAAAGGGGATGTTAAAAGATCTAACTAGTGAAAGCTGATCAAATAAAAACCACAAACTTTGATCCCCCTAAATGTTTGACCCCCCTCTCCCCTACACGTTTGATCCACTTAAATTTTTGACCCACTAAATGTTTGATTCCCCTAAATGTTTGACCCCCATAAATGTTTGACCCCTTTAAAAGTTTGATCCCCCTAAATGTCTGACTCCCCCCCCCCCCCTCCCTAAAAGATTGACCCCCCTAAATGTCTGACTCCCCCCCCCCCCCTAAATGTCTGACTCCCCCCCCCCTCCCTAAAAGATTGACCCCCCTTAAAGATTGACCCCCCTAAATGTTTGACACCCCTAAATGTTTGACCCCTAAATGTTTGACCCCCCTAAATGTCTTACTCCCCCCCTAAATGTCTTACTCCCCCCCTAAATGTCTGACTCCCCCCCCTCCCTAAAAGATTGACCCCCCTTAAAGATTGACCCCCCTAAATGTTTGACACCCCTAAATGTTTGACCCCCTAAATGTCTTACTCCCCCCCCTAAATGTTTGACCCCTATAAAAGTTTGACCCCCTAAAAGATTGACCCCCTAAATGCTTGACCCCCCCCTAAATGTTTGACCCCCCTTAATGTTTGACCCCCCTAAATGATTGACCCCCTAAAAGATTGACCCCTTAAATATTTGACCCCCCAGGAACCTGCGCCAGACGTGCGAGGCCCGTGGGTTTGACCGCGCTGACCTTGGCCCAGATGAGAATGACCTGAAGTTGGGGGACACGGAGATCCAGTCGTCTCACCTGAAGGAGCTGGACAAAACAAAGTCTGAGCTCAACAGGGCCAAGAATGAACTGGACGCGGTCAAGCTACGGGTATGTCAAGGGTGTAGAGTGGTAAACTCTAAAACCAAAACGTCTGTTTAAAGCTAATTTTAAAAAAAGTTGTGAGACTAGTCTCATCTTCTACTTATTTTTTTTTCCTGAAAAAATTTGTAAATGCTACATAATACATATGCTTTCAACTATTTCAACAAAAGTTGTGAAAAAAGCATTTTATAAATATGTAATTATAACAATTGTGTTGACTGTTTCAACACCAATTGTTAAACTAGTCTCATTCTTCTCTAGTATGGTCCTGTTTCCAGTATGGCCCTATATACATGTGTAATTATAATTGACTATTGCAACACCAATTGTTAGACTAGTCTCATCTTTATCCAGTATGGCCCTATACACATGTGTAATTATAATTGACTATTGCCACACCAATTGTTAAACTAGTCTCATCTATTTCCAGTATGGCCCTATACACATGTGTAATTATAATTGACTATTGCCACACCAATTTTTAGACTAGTCTCATCTATTTCCAGTATGGCCCTATATACATGTGTAATTATAATTGACTATTGCCACACCAATTGTTAAACTAGTCTCATCTATTTCCAGTATGGCCCTATACACATGTGTAATTATAATTGACTATTGCCACACCAATTTTTAGACTAGTCTCATCTATTTCCAGTATGGCCCTATATACATGTGTAATTATAATTGACTATTGCCACACCAATTGTTAAACTAGTCTCATCTATTTCCAGTATGGCCCTATACACATGTGTAATTATAATTGACTATTGCCACACCAATTTTTAGACTAGTCTCATCTATTTCCAGTATGGCCCTATATACATGTGTAATTATAATTGACTATTGCCCTACCAATTGTTAAACTAGTCTCATCTATTTCCAGTATGGCCCTATATACATGTGTAATTATAATTGACTATTGCCCTACCAATTGTTAAACTAGTCTCATCTATTTCCAGTATGGCCCTATATACATGTGTAATTATAATAGACTATTGCCACACCAATTGTTAGACTAGTCTCATCTATTTCCAGTATGGCCCTATACACATGTGTAATTATAATTGACTATTGCCACACCAATTGTTAGACTAGTCTCATCTATTTCCAGTATGGCCCTATATACATGTGTAATTATAATAGACTATTGCCACACCAATTGTTAGACTAGTCTCATCTATTTCCAGTATGGCCCTATACACATGTGTAATTATAATTGACTATTGCCACACCAATTGTTAGACTAGTCTCATCTATTTCCAGTATGGCCCTATACACATGTGTAATTATAATTGACTATTGCCACACCAATTTTTAGACTAGTCTCATCTATTTCCAGTATGGCCCTATACACATGTGTAATTATAATTGACTATTGCCACACCAATTGTTAGACTAGTCTCATCTATTTCCAGTATGGCCCTATACACATGTGTAATTATAATTGACTATTGCCACACCAATTTTTAGACTAGTCTCATCTATTTCCAGTATGGCCCTATATACATGTGTAATTATAATTGACTATTGCCACACCAATTGTTAGACTAGTCTCATCTATTTCCAGTATGGCCTGTTTGGTGATGACAAGAAGGAAAATCTGGGAGATCTCAAGTAAAATCTTTTATTGACATTTTTTAATTGATATTTTTTAATGGAAATTTTTTATTGACATTATTTATTGACAGATTTTATTAACATATTAACAAATATTGACATATTTTATTGACATTTTTTGATTGACAAATTTTGATTAACCTTTTTAATTGATATTTTTACATTGACAATATTGTATTGAAATTTTTGAATGAGTTTATGTTTAAAAAAATTTAAGTTTTATACATTGAAGGAAGTTTGTTTTTTAAATGGTAAAGTGTTTTTTCATCTTGAGCAAAGTCTTTTGCAGTAAAGAAGTAATTATTTTTTAAAGTAGTTTTTTTAATTAAAAAAATGTTTTATTTAGTTTATTTTAAGATTAAGTTTTTTAAATTGAATTAAGTTTTTTTTAACTGAATATTTTTTAGAATTTTATTATTGAAGTATTTTTCGAAATAAAGTTAGTTTTTTATTGAATTTAAATTTTTTTTTAACATACTATGTTCTAGGCTGCCTTATGTAATTTCTATTATTGGCTACACTAGCTTATTTCCTTAATGCAAATTTATCTTAATTTATTAATATTGACCAACTATTATCAACTAGATAAATGGCCCGTTGAGGAAGGGTACAACGGGCGCTAGGCTGATAGTGCTGTCTCTTTTCTCTAAACTAAAACCAACCCACCCCCCACACACCACCCCCACCCCACCCCCCACCCCCACACACCACCCCCACCCCCCACCACACACCACCCCCACCCCAACCCCTCACCCCCACACACCACCCCCTCCACACACCGCCCCCCCCCCCACCCCCCCAAAAAAAACATGTCTACCGTCCCATTCAACGAAATATAATTATATACTTTTTCCAGTGTCCGCCCCCTCCCAGAATATTCTACCCCCGCCCCCGAAAATTTCAAGTACCCCCACCCCTCTCCGGGGAGGAAAAAGTCTGAAAGAAACACTGAAACCAACCCACCCCCCACACACCACCCCCCACCCCTACACACCACCCCCCCCCCCACCCCTCCACCCCTCCCCCCCCCCCCCCAACCCCCCCAAAAAAAAAAACATGTCTACCTTCCCATTGCAAGAAAACCACTTTTTAGATTAGACACATTAATTAGGCTGTAATTTTATTATAGAGTATCGATGAGGAAATTTCTTTTGAGTTGGGGAGGGGGGGGGGGGGGGCTCAGACGTTCTTACGCGGGGGGTGGGGCTTCGCCCCTACCCGAAGAATTGTATGCAAGAAACTCTTCACGCAAACCATTTAGATTAGACAACATTTCCTTTTTTTCAATGTTTACGCGATAATCAATGACGTCATATTACTGTGTGCACTCTCTGGTTTGAGATTATGTTCTACTCTACGCTAAATGTGTCGACGTCATATTTCGTTTTTCGAATTACTGTGCATGTTTTTATTTTGCTTGTGTTTTCTCTAGAGCGTTCTTGTCAGACAGAGCGTTCTTGACAGACAGCGAAACTATTATATAGAATAGGTAACCTAAACAAAATTTTTAGCCTACTCTGCCATTTTACGGTCCTACAGTGTTCAGTTTATTTAAATGTTGAAGTCAAAGCAAATAGGTTATTTTTGTCTGGAAGTTACAAGCTTGAGTTTTGATTGTGATAGATAATTTAGAAATATAACAAACAAAACTAATTGCCTTGACCTTGACCTCTACAGCACTGTGTCGGCCAGGTCTGACCTGTGGGCAGCCCTCAGGAAACAGCTGAGGGAGTTCACACTTAACACGCAGCAACAGCTGGAGCAGGAGCGGGCGCGGCTGCTCAGTGAGAACCAGGTCCTGCAACAACAGCTCAGGGAGAGTCAGGAGTACATTGACAGCCATCTTGTACGGTAAGTTGAACTTCCTGTTGGCAGCCATCTTGTGCAAAACTGTTGGCAGCCATCTTGTGTGGAAAGTTGAACTTCCTGTTGGCAGCCATCTTGTGTGGTAAGTTGGACTTTGACATCCTTGTTTGAGTCCAGTAGGCTACCTCAGTGGGCTACCTCATTGGGCTACCTCAGTGGGCTACCTCAGTGGGATACCTCAGTAGGCTACCTCAGTGGGCTACCTCAGTAGGCTACCTCAGTGGGCTACCTCAGTGGGCTACCTCAGTGGGCTACCTCAGTGGGCTACCTCAGTGGGCTACCTCAGTGGGCTACCTCAGTGGGCTACCTCAGTAGGCTACCTCAGGGGGCTACCTCAGTAGGCTACTGGACTCACTTTAGTGAAACTGAGGGGCCTTGTGATACTGCTGAGCACACTGACCACCTGTATGCCGACGTCATTTAACCAGATGAACTCTACTTCATCTGCCCCATCTTTTAAGGTCATAAACGGGAAAAAAATGAAAATGATGAGCCATCTTGTTCAACGTGCCTGCTTAAAACTGTCCTAGGCTTAGTTACTGAATTAATTTGTTTTTTAAAGGTAGCTTTTTAAACTGAAATAATCCTGTTTTAGACTACACTATCCTGGCTCAGTAAAATTAGTTAACAGCTGTACAGACAGTTAACAGCTGTACAATTAGTTAACAGCTGTACAATTAGTTAACAGCTGTACAATTAGTTAACAGCTGTACAATTAGTTAACAGCTGTACAATTATATAACAGCTGTATATTAGTTAACAGCTGTACAATTCTATAACAGCTGTACAATTAGTTAACAGTTGTAAAATCAGTTAACAGCTATAAAATTAGTTAACAGCTGTAAAATTCTATCTGTCCCAGCTACAAGCAGGAGATCCTGCGCCTGCGCAAGTTGCTGGGTATGTCTGAAGCTGAGGCTGGCATCCTGACAGACAGGCTGGCAAGAACCAAGAAAAGATAACTCAGTGGCCTCCAGCTAAATCCTTATCAACATCTCCGTCCATCTACAAATTATTAATGACTATGCACATATTTTTGATAAATAAAGATTATCTTTTACAATATTCAATTGCCTAATTTCCTTTTCTAACCATCCTTATCTAAAAGTTTGTTAACTGGTGTTTGAAATATAACTAAATTAATTACCATTCATAGCAAGTAAATGTGCTTGAGACAGACTTGATAGTGGATTTTGTTGTCAAAGATTTGTCAACTTCCTGTCAATGTAAGTGTAAGTCTGTGTTTATAGGCCGTTGACCATACATCTCCCAGCAGTAATGTCACACTGTTTTCTTAACCAGTTGTCACATCAGAGGCGTAGCGATGGGGGGGGGGGGGGCAGGGGGGTACATATGTCCCCGGGCGCCGACCTTAGGGGGCGCCAAAATGGGGTGTAAAAACAAATTCAAATGTTATTTGAGCTGCATTTTTGCATTTTAGGTAGTTTGGGGGGGGGGGGGGGTGCAAATCGAAAGATTGAGGGGGGTGGGGCGCAAAATTTATAGTGTGTCCCCGGGCGCCGGGAATGGTTGCTACGCCTCTGTGTCACATTGTATTCTGTCTCACCAACACTTGTCTCACCAACACCTGTCTCACGAACACTTGTCTCACAAACACTTGTCTCACCAACACTTGTCTCACCAACACTTGTCTCACCAACACCTGTCTCACGAACACTTGTCTCACAAACACTTGTCTCACCAACACTTGTCTCACCAACACTTGTCTCACCAACACTTGTCTCACCAACACTTGTCTCACAAACACTTGTCTCACAAACACTTGTCTCACCAACACTTGTCTCACCAACACTTGTCTCACAAACACTTGTCTCACCAACACTTGTCTCACCAACACCTGTCTCACCAACACTTGTCTCACCAACACTTAACTGCCTGTATCCCTGCATGTCTGCCTGCCAGTATCCCTACATGTATCCCTGCCTGTCTGCCTGCCTGTATCCCTGCCTGTATCCCTGCATGTCTGTTTGCCTGTATGTCTGTCTGCCTGTATGTCTGCATGTATCCATGTACTTGCTGCCCTCTCTACATGCCCCATCCATCTCACTGATCCACATTATAATATGAGAGCCACAGCACAAAACCTTAATCCCTGCTTGCCTTTAATCCCTGCCTATCTTTAATCCTGCTTGTCCAAGCTGCGCACATATTCTCTTAGATCTCTGGCAGAAGATGACGCGTGTATCTGGGTCATGGTGGGCCTGGTTCCGCCGCTGGATTAACCTGACACATTGATTAACTCACGTCGGCCAGGATTAACTGACGTCAAACACGCACACAAACTGTGTTAACTGATACTTCAGTCAACTCACGTCAAACACGCACACAAACTGTTAACTGATACTTCAGTCAACTCACGTCAAACACGCACACAAACTGTGTTAACTGATACTTCAGTCAACTCACGTCAAACACGCACACAAACTGTGTTAACTGATACTTCAGTCAACTCACGTCAAACACGCACACAAACTGTGTTAACTGATACTTCAGTCAACTCACGTCAAACACGCACACAAACTGTGTTAACTGATACTTCAGTCAACTCACGTCAAACACGCACACAAACTGTGTTAACTGATACTTCAGTCAACTCACGTCAAACACGCACACAAACTGTGTTAACTGATACTTCAGTCAACTCACGTCAAACACGCACACAAACTGTGTTAACTGATACTTCAGTCAAGAGCAAGGTCAGAGCAATACACACATTGGGAAAATGGATCACAAGGTCACATCAATAAACATTGAGATAATGACCACAAGGTGACAAATGCATTGAAGTAATTAGTCACATTAACACATTAATGTGTGCAAATCTAGGAGATGCCGATAACATAAAATGTCTTAAGTAGAAATTCGCTTATATATATATATATATATATATATATATATATATATATATATATATATATATATATATATATATATATATATATATATATATATATATATATATATATACACTAGACCACCCGTTATCCTTTGGATTATGTGCGGTTTTAAGGGTAATTCATCAATGATGTCACACTTGTTTGACGAATTTTATCATCCCACTGTCACACACAGTCACATAAAGCTAGTCCCACGTTTAATGTTACACCACCGGTTTCAGCTGAACTCTACTTCACCTGCCCAATGTCTCGAAAGGCATTTTTACCATACATATCATGTCATTCGACAGGGTAGCTAGCGCACTGTCCTCTCGGTCAGCTAGGCACACATAAATTGTTGAAAATATTTTATTTTACAATCTCCGTTAACATTTTTAAGGGAGGCCACTCTTCCCCATAAAGTAAAATTACGTTTAATAGGCCTATTATTTTGTAATTAAGTTATATCCTAACTAATTCAATCTATTCCATTGCTAAGGAACAAAGATATATATTTATTGCATAAACAGTTCAGTAGAAAAACTCAATTATTTTTTTGTATTTTTATACTTGTTTTTGTTCTTAAAAGAATTCAACGTTAAAATAATAAAAATGTTTGAGCTGATTCTATACACCCTTTTAAAATAAATAAAAATGTTGAAACAAACAACATAGCTGAAACATAAACAGTCGGTCAAACAAAAACGTTGAATCAAATTAAAATATGAAACAAAAGAAGAGTTAAAACAAAATCAAATGTTCAACCAAGTAAAAAGTCGAAACAAATTTAAAAAAAAATTAAACTAATAAAATCAGTTGAATCAAATAAAAAGTTTAAGCGAAAAAAATCTTTAAAAAAATAATCGAAAAGAACAAAATCTTGAAGCGAACAAAAGTTGAAGCGAACAAAATCTTGAAACAAATAAAAAGTTGAAATGACAAGAATGTTATGCAACAGGACCGCACTTTACCTGCTGGGTTAAGGTGAAGCCATTTTTCACTCTTGTCACTCTCTTGACTTGTGTGTCTCCACGCTCTCCTTCATGTTGGCAGACCTTCGGGACCTTTGGTTCTCATACCTTCAAGGTAGTGGTTCTCATACCTTCATGTTAGTGGTTCTCATACCTTCATGGTAGTGGTTCTCATACCTTCATGTTAGTGGTTCTCATACCTTCATGGTAGTGGTTCTCATACCTTCATGTTAGTGGTTCTCATACCTTCATGGTAGTGGTTCTCATACCTTCATGGTAGTGGTTCTCATATCTTCATGGTAGTGGTTCTCATACCTTCATGTTGGTAGTGGTTCTCATACCTTCATGGTAGTGGTTCTCATACCTTCATGGTAGTGGTTCTCATACCTTCATGGCAGTGGTTCTCATACCTCCATGGTGATTGTTCTCATACCTTCATGGTGATTGTTCTCATACCTTCATGGTAGTGGTTCTCATACCTTCATGGTAGTGGTTCTCATACCTCCATGGTAGTGGTTCTCATACCTTCATGGTAGTGGTTCTCATACCTTCATCGCAGTGGTTCTCATACCTTCATGGTGATTGTTCTCATACCTTCATGGTAGTGGTTCTCATACCTACATGGTAGTGGTTCTCATACCTTCATGTTAGTGGTTCTCATACCTTCATGGTAGTGGTTCTCATACCTTCATCGCAGTGGTTCTCATACCTTCATGGTGATTGTTCTCATACCTTCATGGTAGTGGTTCTCATACCTTCATGGTAGTGGTTCTCATACCTTCATGGTGATTGTTCTCATACCTTCATGGTGATTGTTCTCATACCTTCATGGTAGTGGTTCTCATACCTACATGGTAGTGGTTCTCATACCTTCATTGCAGTGGTTCTCATACCTTCATGTTGGCAGACCCTCTGGACATTGGTAGTGGTTCTCATACCTTCATGGTAGTGGTTCTCATACCTTCATGGTAGTGGTTCTCATACCTTCATCGCAGTGGTTCTCATACCTTCATCGCAGTGGTTCTCATACCTTCATCGCAGTGGTTCTCATACCTTCATGTTGGCAGACCCTCTGGACATTGGTAGTGGTTCTCATACCTTCATGGTAGTGGTTCTCATACCTTCATGGTAGTGGTTCTCATACCTTCATGGTAGTGGTTCTCATACCTTCATGGTAGTGGTTCTCATACCTTCATGGTAGTGGTTCTCATACCTTCATGGTAGTGGTTCTCATACCTTCATGGTAGTGGTTCTCATACCTTCATGGTAGTGGTTCTCATACCTTCATGGTAGTGGTTCTCATACCTTTATGGTAGTGGTTCTCATACCTTCATGGTAGTGGTTCTCATACCTTCATGGTAGTGGTTCTCATACCTTCATGGTAGTGGTTCTCATACCTACATGGTAGTGGTTCTCACACCTTCATGGTGATTGTTCTCATACCTTCATGGTAGTGGTTCTCATACCTTCATGGTGATTGTTCTCATACCTTCATGGTAGTGGTTCTCATACCTTCATGGTGATTGTTCTCATACCTTCATGGTAGTGGTTCTCATACCTTCATGGTAGTGGTTCTCATACCTTCATTGCAGTGGTTCTCATACCTTCATGTTGGCAGACCCTCTGGACATTGGTAGTGGTTCTCATACCTTCATGGTAGTGGTTCTCATACCTTCATGGTAGTGGTTCTCATACCTTCATCGCAGTGGTTCTCATACCTTCATCGCAGTGGTTCTCATACCTTCATCGCAGTGGTTCTCATACCTTCATGTTGGCAGACCCTCTGGACATTGGTAGTGGTTCTCATACCTTCATGGTAGTGGTTCTCATACCTCCATGGTGATTGTTCTCATACCTTCATGGTAGTGGTTCTCATACCTTCATGTTGGCAGACCCTCTGGACATTGGTAGTGGTTCTCATACCTTCATGGTAGTGGTTCTCATACCTTCATGGTGATTGTTCTCATACCTTCATGGTAGTGGTTCTCATACCTCCATGGTGATTGTTCTCATACCTTCATGGTAGTGGTTCTCATACCTTTATGGTAGTGGTTCTCATACCTTTATGGTAGTGGTTCTCATACCTTTATGTTGGCAGACCCTCGGGACATTGGTAGTGGTTCTCATACCTTTATGGTAGTGGTTCTCATACCTTTATGGTAGTGGTTCTCATACCTTTATGGTAGTGGTTCTCATACCTTT